AAACAAGGCTGGAACAGGAAAGCTGGGATTTGGAAAAAGGGTAGCTAAGAAGGTAATGTAAAAACATGGAATCCAACAGGCTAAGAAAGAGTTAGAATAGAAAAGAATCAATTCGGGAAGATAAGGAAAAAGAAGAAAAGAACACGTAATCGAAATGTTCTTCTTATGAATGACACATGTGGTTAAAATCATGCCGAGGGAAGATTCTCTCTTGGGTTCTTCAAAGAGGCTTCAACACGAAGTCCTCGTTCCCCTCACCACGTGGCAAATATTTGATGATGAAGTGAGGCTCCCTGAGATGAAGCATTTATTGTCGTTTAGGCGTCATTCACAGTTTCCTCTTTTCTTTTTTACGGCTAGGTACAAGTAAGAGGTAATACAGCTAGCTACTCAAACACACTCCTAGTAACTGAACGCAGGCGAGCTTGCACTCGCACTAATCATGTGGTTCCTAGACTTGTAGGAAAACTAATAGCAATGGCCTCCAACCTAATAGCGATGGCGTCCAACCTACTAGCGATGGCCTCCAACCTACGAGCGATGGCCTCCAACCTACGAGCGATGGCCTCCACCCTAATAGCAATGGCCTCCAACGTGATGGCCTCCAAGAAGATTTGATTCCTAGATTCCTTAGAACAATAAATGTGTTTTTCTTGGTCCTTACTTTCTCTTTTTTTACTCTCCTGACTTGCACATACTAGGGCAAAGCGTAGCATGCCGTTTGACTTCACTGATTCACTTCATGTTTGGAGAAGGGAAAGACTTTGAGTTTGCAACCAGGCTTCTTTCGGATGTCTGTGGACACCGTGATGGCTTGGTCGTCGTAGGTCCGGGCATTGATCATTACACCCCGCAAAAAGCCAACCAAGGTCCTATCCAAAACCAAAAAATAGATGAATCGACAAGGAAAACCTGTCTTGTGACTGGATCGATCTGTGTCAAATCAATCTTTCACCCCGATAACTCTCTTCATTTGTTTTCATCTACCCGATTGCATCAAACATGTTCATTCGAACGTTTGGCACGTTTGGCATGCTCCTTGCAGTCCATTGTTGGCAATCGCCTGTACCTTGCAGAAGAGTTGCCAACCCGCCAGGTGTGCCAAAGCGGAGATTGACAACTATAATCACTCACTTAAAAGCCCAAAAAGGGTCTAATTACATTTAATTACACCTTTCCTAGCACTCGTTCTCGCACGCAATCCCAACACTCCCCCACTGCGTGGCACCCAGCACCTTCATCAACCCATCAACGGACTGACGGATTATTCATACCTCTTTCCTAAGCACACCCTTGCAAGCCCTCATGTTTTGAAGGCCTGCAACTTGTTGCAAGCCTCGGCACAAAATGTTTGGGCCGCCGTGGCTTCTCGATGGTCCCAAATGTACACGCGCGTAGTGCTCAGCACGTCCTCTGGATTTTGAGCACGCGAAAGCGAAAGGACCTACCTCAAAGGTCCAAGGAAGAAACACCCACACTAGGAGCTTCCTATTGCTAGTAGCTTAGTCCCTTAATTAGGTAGGCACCTTAATTGAGTAGTAGCCGGGGAACCTAAGTGTCCGTAAAAATCTAGGAACCAACTGAATAGTGCGAGCGCTTCTTCAAGGAAGCTCCCTCCCGCCCTCAGGCGGGGGTAGCCTCCTTGAAGAAGAGTGAGCTATCCTGCGTCCGGCTACTAGAAGCTAACTGAGCCTAGTAGCTTGCCTCCTTTCTTAATCAAGTAGGAGCGGGCAAAAAAGCTCCTAGTAGCGTCCTTGTTCCTAGTAGTAAGGCCAGGAGCCCCGTTCGTAGCATCCTTTCACACAAAATATCCCGGCCACATGCTGTCGCTCCTGCCGGTCCAGGATCGGTGCACGATAAACATTTTGGGGCATCATCCAAGCCTCAAGGTGATTGCCGTCATGAACACAACATGTCCAAAAGCGTTCAAAGGGTTCAATCCATGTCATTCATGCTACAAGATTCTCTGGTTCGTGCGATGCCCCTTTGAACTCTTCAAGATGCTTTCGAAAATCATGAACTCATTGTGCAATGGTGTGCAGCGACTGATGGAGAAGCCTGGTCAGTCTCCTGTTGTCGTAGAGAGACGAAGGGATACCTTGTGTCACAGAGCTTCATGGGCATGCACAGCGCACACAGGAGCAAAGAAACTTGAAAAACAAATTTCAAATCTCTTCCTGTGCTTTTCTTTCTTTCTGTTTCTCTTTAAACCTTTAGACCTTTCTTTTTTCTCCATTCAGAAACTTCAAGACGGATTCACTTGTTAAACCTTCTGCGTCCAGGTGCAACGGACCCTGATGGCCCATCAGTTGTTCTGGAGGTATCACCAGCTCCACATCAAAGTATCGGAATTCTGCACAAGGCGTTGGTGTCGTTCTGAGAGAAAAAACTTTCTTACGATGGCCTCCAACCTAATAGCGACGGCTAGCCGCTAGCCAGCAATACCAATTACTACCCATGCTGAATGAAGGTGTCAAGTGTCAAGGATCTCCAGTCTCAAAAGACCCGAACACCCGCAACCTGCCTGGATGGTAGGAAACATCATCAAAGATCTTGATGGGAAGGTCAATGCGCTCCTAGAGCGACGAGCTCGGTCCTCCATTTTGCTCCGGTCTATCTCTGGGTCTTCATGGGTCTTCGTCAGGTTTTCCGTGGCCGGCACTAAATCAGTCTTGAAGGACAAAACGTGACCCACCTACCCACCATACCACCCACCTCAAAATAGTATTTATATGGTGGTTCCGCCTACCTGACTGTTTATTTTGGTAGTCAAATGGCTCCAGTATAGTGAGGCATAGTTTGTTCAATGCCCAATAATATCCATACCATAACTAACTGTTTTTGTTTTCAGACACTGACCCCAAAAAAAAGGTATTATTAATAAGTAGGGTACATACAAAACATCTACGGCACTACAGCTGCTCCACTCAGACGAAGCACCTGAAAGCGTGCTTGCAGCTGGGAGCTGTAGTTCCAAGCCTCCGTTCCTAGCGGCCCCGAGTGACGGGACAATCGGCCAAACATGGCGAGACTAGTCAGGTCTGTGATAAAAGTAGCTGCTTGCTACTAGAAGCGTCCTTGTTACTAGAGTCATCAATACATACATACAAGTCTTTGTGCACATCTGTCCAGTGACTTGGTAAGCAGCTGAAGATTTACACAGTTCAATTTTCGTTGTGTGTCTGGTGTTTGTTGAAGCAACCCATGACAACGACTCAATCCATCAAAACGATTCGGCGCTTCCTTCCATGGGGATCATCTGCGACTCATCCACACCAAAGGTGATGTTCGCCACCGTGGGTTCGAACGACGCTAGCTCACCTGTCGCTTTGTGCCCCGTCAGAGTCGAAACGGCTCAATCTTAACCTTCCGTTGAGTTTTATTGATCCTGTTGTTCTACTCCATCGCTAGTAGGTTGGAGGCCATCGCTGCTTTTGTCTTTTTTCCTGTTTTGTTTTTTACAGAAAACCAGGGCCACCAACGGCGAAACACCGCATTTACGAACGCGGCGGCCTCCATACACCAGGCTGCTACTGTGTGCAGTCCCATCTCTTGTTCGCACGACCACGGTGATGGGACGAGCAAACTCTGCTCCTCAGAGCGCCCGCAAGAAGACCGTGAAAGACACAACCGTTCGGCAGGGCCAGATTCTTGCTGACTTCTGTTACTTCTGTTCAAGAAAGCCCCCCGGAGTAAAGTAGTTGTACGCATGATTACAAATCTGCATGAAGATACAGCCGAACTAGGTCTAGACCAAGGTGGTCTCTGCCCACCGAGCAGCTCAGCGCGTAGATGCTTCGCTGGATGACCAAGGTGACATTTCCCTGGTCCTCGCACGTTTCATAGTTTTACTACTTGAGCTTCAGCCCAGGCCGCCCTTGCCTTGTAGACGTGATAGATGGGTGAGCTGAACTCAATGGGGCCATCTGAGACACAGCGTCCCGAAGGATCCTGACAGGTCGATCCGAACGGCGAAGAGGAAGCGGAAGTCGTTCTCCATTCCGATCGGAAGTCGTTCTCCAGGCTCCTCACCAAATGGCATTGGCTCCAAGACATAGAGAGGATCACAGTGTGTGCATCGGAGAACCTGAGCTAGGCGAGCTAGGCCCAGGCCAACTCATGAAGCTACAAGTTGTGGCCCACCAGTACAACTCATGTAATGTGTTCAGTGACACATCTACATCTGACGTGCTTCAGCAAACTATCTACATGAACAAGTCAAAACCAAGGATGAAGTAATGAAGTGGTAATAACCGGAAAGAACCGGAAAGAGGTTACCTTCGAATCCCGAGCTACGACAAGTCCATCGGGCCCCGTGGGTTCTGGTCCACAAAGCTGACAATGCGGGAATCGATTGGAGCACCTTTCGCAGCCTCAGCGAAGAGGGGAAGAAGCGGGAAGAAAGGGTGAAGAATCGAAATGAAGTAAGACCTGTTCTTTAGAATCTGTCGACCCTTTGTAACGAAAAAAAGGAAACCACTCGGCAGTGAAAACCAGCAAAGAAGTCTTCTTTTAAGTGCAAACGTTGTGCAACGCCGGGTCCCGAGGGTCCCAAGCATCTTTTCGCCGCTCTGTCGTAGCTGACTTCTTGGCAGCCTGTCCTTTCGTGTTCGAAACATCGTTGAATTCCTTGCACCGAACTGCCTAGGTGAGACAAGTGAATTCAAAACATCACAGAACCACACACAAGATTTCGATTTCGAGAGCCTTTGACTCTTCTCATGCCGCAGGGCTGTGTTTCATGGCAAGCAAACCGAAGACCTTCCTTTTTCGCTCAAATTCAGGCCTGTCTGTGGCATGTCTAAAAAGACCCGAAGGTCGCCATTCGGGTATATGTACAGGAAGTTCGGCGAAGAGAAAGCCACAAATAGCACAATCGAACCGGCTAATGTTAGATCTGTTTGGATGAATGTCAAGTAACTGTTGAGCATGATATGTTGGATGCATTTTTGTGTGACTCTTGGAGCTTGTAGAGCCATTCTTGCTCGTGTTGCTAGTGCTCAGGGGCGCCTGGGCACAGCACGCGTGTGTCCTGGCGGAGCCACCTGCATCTGCGCCTGGAAGAAGGCGCTCCACCGAGCAAATCCAACTTCTAAGACCCCTCTAAACCATTTTGATGGCCCGATGGCCTCCACTCTACTAGCGATGGCGATGGCCTCCAACCTAAACGCTGTACAGTGGTCTTGATGGTCCTCTTTGTTCTCGAACGTGCTTGATGTTCGGAGCCAGTGTTCAGCACGGACAAAAAAGGCAACTTTTTGCTAGCGCAAAGCATTGTGAAGGCCAAGATTTGTTTTGATTGGAGGAACAGATATGCACGAGTCGAATATCACGCACACTGAAGACCCGCTCTTGGTGCTAGTTTGAAGCGAAGCACCTCTGTCTCGTCCGACTGGGAGGACTCTGACTGAAAGTGGGCCTCCGACGTGGGACCGCAGACGCTTTTAGCAACTAGTAACAACGGCCTCGCTACTAGGAACAAGTGCCACGCTACTAGGGGCTCCTGGCCGTACTACTAGGAGCAAGAAGCTACTAGGAGCAAAGGGCTACTCTAGCATTCTACCTAATAGCAATGGCCTCCAACCTAAGAGCGATGGCCTTCAACCTAAGTAACGATGCCCTCCATCCTAGCAATGTTAGTTGTGTTCCTTCTACTTGAGAATTGTTGTCTGTTTGAGTCAAAATCTTCAAGCTTCCATCCACCCTCTCATGCCTGACGTCGCCGCTCATAGCGTTCCTCCCGTGCATTCCGGGTTTGTGCACCCGCAGCCAGCTGCCCTTGGGGCTGTTGGGGCTGCCCTTGACCTTGACCTTGTACAAAGGCGAAAAGCTCATGGCGCTGGGGCCTTAGCGCAGCTGGGCCACTGACTTTTACTTCTATCTCACTCTCCTTAACTATGCTATTGAGTGCTTTCTGGGATCCGAACTCGGATCTTCCGAAACCAGAAAATCATATGCAAAACAATCGCAGTCTATATCACCACCCAGTAAAACGGAAGGTCCGACTCAAACAGCCGGACCTTAAGTCCTAGAGGGCTTGGAAAAGAAAAGGGAAGGTGGACTTGGGCTCCTTTGATAAGGCCCCCTACCCCTATCGCCCAAGTGCACCTTCCTTTCCTTTTCGGCAGCTGGAGGCCATCGCTAGTAGGATAACACTTTCTTCTCCTTCAACCTCTTTCGACCTCCAGTCACATTCCGTTCTCCCAGGTCTCCCTGCGGCTTTGGAAGGGCTCTCGCCTGAAACAGCTGAAGGGAATGGACTCGGAATGGACCGAAATTCGATAGAAAACTGGAAACTTTCCGTGATTCCTTTTGAAAGTGCTCCTCTTCCACAAAAAGATCAAAGAAAGTGTAATTCTGTACAAACCATCACACATCATGGCTCTTCTCCATTTTATTGATAGGAAAATGCCACAGGTCATTGAGACGTCTATTGCAAACCTGGCAGCGCCTCCTTAGCGCTGGAGGGCCGTCGCACCCGTACGAGCAAGTCGCCCTGATGAACGTTGGCGACCACTCGGACTCGGTGCCCTACATGCGTTCTTGTTACTACTAGTATGGCACCTGTTACTACTAGCGTGGCACTTGTTACTACTAGCAAACATTGTTACTACTAGAAAGGCACTTGTTACTAGAAGCGATGCACTTGTTACTAGTAGCTTCTTGTTCCTCTTGATTTTTGTCCCACAAGTTTCGGGATCTAAAGAGAAAATGCCTCTGATCCAACTCCGTAGGCCATATTCAACGAGTCCGAGAGGAATCACTTGCGAAACAAAAATGTGTGAAAGTGGCGCAGGACAATCGTACCATATCGTACCTCTGGCGTCTTCTCTGGCTCATCTGGAGCCTTTGTGGCTGGTGACCTTGTGGCATTCCAAGCGTGATTTAACAATAGAAGTCCCTGGCTGAAACCTACTCTTTCAACGCCTGAGCCACTTCTGGCGATGCCTTTGGTGGCCGTTGGCCCTAAACTAAACCTACTGTGTGTTTAAAATGCTTTGCGCAAAGGAAGCATGAAAAAGTGCATACAGTCCCTGGCTTTTGGTTCTCCAGGCAGGAATCAGTCTCACGAAATCTCGATTTGCATCAACTACCGCTTCCGTTTCACAGTCTTGTTTTGATTTCTCCAACAGCGTCCTTGCTCCTAGTAGCGATGCCCTCTGTTCCTAGTAGCTTCTTGCTCCTAGTAGTAGGGCCAGGAGCCCCTAGTAGCGATGCCCTTTGCTCCTAGTAGTATGGCCATTGTTTCTGATAGCAAACATTGTTACTACTAGTAAGGCACTTGTTACTACTAGCGATGCACCTGTTCCTACTAGCGATGCACCTTTTTCTTTTCTCGTTTGTTTCCAGGTATCCGTGCCAATGCTGGGCCCGTCGCAGCTTCCCCATACGCCCCAGCCGTCGGAGCAGCTCTTCGGCGCTGGGGCGCTTCTCGGCGTCCCGCGTCAAAAGCATCGAGACCACCTGGTTGAACTCCTGACGGAGGAACAAGGACGCTACTAGGGGCTCCTGGCCTTACTACTAGGAACAAGGACACTACTAGGGGCTCCTGGCCTTACTACTAGGAACAAGGACGCTACTAG